TAGGAACCTTAAGTGCAGCAGAATTTTTTTTTGTAACCTTGGCCAGATCTGTGCCTTGCCACAATTGTGTCTCTGAGCTCTTCAGGCAGTTCCTTTGACCTCATGATTCTCATTTGCTCTGACATGCAGTGTGAGCTGTAGGGTCTTATATAGACAGGTGTGTGGCTTTCCTAATCACGTCCAATCAGTATAATCAAACACCGCTGGACTCAAATGAAGGTGTAGAACCATCTCAGGGATGATCAGCAGAAATGGACAGCACCTAAGTTAAATATATGAGTGTCACAGCAAAGGGTCTGAATACTTATGACCATGTGATATTTCAGTTTTTCTTTTTTAATAAATCTGCTAAAATGTCCAAAATTCTGTGTTTTTCTGTCAATATGGGGTGCTGTGTGTACATTAATGAGGAAAAAATGAACTTAAATGATTTTAGCATATGGCTGCAATATAACAAAGAGTGAAAAATTTAAGGGGGTCTGAATACTTTCCGTACCCACTGTATGTATAATCCCTCCAGCGTACCAGCATTCTACAGTATGTCTACCTGCTCTACCCTGAATTCCCTCTGAATGTCTGAACTTCTGTTCTCTAAGGTTGAGTCCAGCCACTGTACTGAGGAAACTCACTTCAGCCAACTGTATTTGTGATCTCATTCTTTCAGTCACTACCCAAAGCTCATGACCACAGATGAGGGTTGGAACACAGATTGACTGGTAAATTGAAAGCTTTGCCTTCCGGCTCTGCTCCCTCTTCACCACAGTGGCCTGGTACAACGCCTGCATTACTGCTGACACTGCACCAATCCACCTGTCAGTCTCATGCTTCATTTTACCTTTGTTTGTGAACAAGTCCCTGAGATACATGAACTTCTTATCTTGGGGCAGCAACTCACTCCCAGCAGAGAACCATTGCCTTGGACTTGGAGGTGCTGATTCTCATCCCAGTGCAGGAGGAGCCTTATAGTGAATAAAAATATAGCATGACTGTGTGTTTAGCTGTCCAGTAGAACTCATTCTGTTAATAACAATAGATACCAACACACCTTTACTGTTTGTTGTACCTACCCTCTTCCTGCCAGATTCAGCCCTGCCCAGGCTGAGCTGTACGAGGCCGTTCTGGAGGTCCAGCACTCCTGTCTGTCTCTGTGTTTCCCGGGCGTAAGTCTAGATCACATCTACACTACCATGCTGGCTCTGCTGGGACGACAGCTCGGGAGGCTGGGCATCATGAAGGATGGCACCAGTGATGCTGATTTACTAAAGGTAATAATCAGAGAAGAGTGGAGCAAAGTGAGGCGTAAATAGCATTTCTGATTCCACAGAGAGAGATTCCAATTTCATCAGTGCTGAAAACGTCATTTTTCTGGTGTTCCTTTATTAATGACAGATTAAAAGGTAAATCTACATTCATATATATATATAAAGGCAGCCTGTGGTTTTAACATCACATTTGGAATTAATTTGATTAATCAGAACTGCATGTTTGAATTTGTACTCTTTATTGTGTTGCGTTCATGGATACAGCTGTTTTCTGTTAAGACGGGTAGATAACTTATCATTTTATAAACATTTAGCAACAAGCTCAAACTGCTCTAGGACCACTGGCTGACAAAAGTAAACTTTTATACAGCTTATTCAGGCCTGATATTTGTTCACAGGCTGCACGGCAGTACTGCCCCCACCACGTTGGTCATTATCTGGGCATGGACGTCCACGACACCCCTGAGCTGTCTCGCTCACAGCCTCTACAGCCAGGAATGGCCATCACCATAGAACCAGGTATGGACTAATTTGGCTTTAATAGCCTCTTGATTTTCTCTTGAGATATGCAGAATTGGCTTTGTTAATTACATATTTGTGTGAAATCAGGTAAAAAAAATCCAAAACACTCATGTACAGTGGAATCTATGCCACATTAATTTTTTTATGGCTCTTGTTTGTCCTGCTTTATAAATGTTCCACTTTCTTGTCACAGGGTTGTACATCTCCGAGGACCATGACCAGGCCCCAGAGCGTGGCCTGGGCATCAGGATTGAGGATGATGTGGTGATTCAAGACAAGGGAGATCCTCTGATTCTGTCCTCAGATGCACCTAAGACCATTGCTGATGTAGAGCAGGCCTGTGCCCAAAGATAGGGCATGGAGAGAGACAAGCACTGATGGCAAGCAGTGTACTGCTTTTTAACTGCACTGAAAACATCATCAGACTCAGATTCCAGGCCTGTGAAAGGTGGGAGCACACTGGGAGACTCTGGTTTTATTCTCAGCAAGGCCACAGACATTTAGAAACCTGATGTGGAAGCTCATAGAATTTGGGATGCTTTTATTGACTCCTAAATGTTTAAAGAAACAAGTTTGGGTGGTTTCATGTGTGTAGTCTTCATTTAACACACTGTAGCTGGTGGGTTCCCTCTGGAACAGTTGCATGTAACTACATGTCAGCGCTACAGTGCTTAATAGCAACACGACATAGAGACCAACTCTATTTATGTACAATATGTTTATCTAGCATTGTGATGGTGCTATTGTCAGGTGAAATCCAATGCTGAACAACAATCCTCTTGGGCCACGTATTTTCAGTGTTTAAGTCCATGTAAGCACCGTCATACCACACCAGGTAATAAAATGTTTCTCACTCACTTTTAAAGTTATACACTCATGATTCTTCATCATTCTCTCCCAGTTCATGCTACAGTACAGAGGCCTGTTGAATGCTTTGTGCTCTAGGATGGTGAGGAAGGACCAGAACAGGCCATAATAACAGACCACCACATTTAAACACGCAAGTGATGAATAAAGAGGACTCTGCCTGAAACAGCTGCTTCTGATAAACCTAGAATGATGATATCGATTACACCAATGCACTAAAATGTGAAATGAATTTGTGTGTGTTGCTGTGTATCTGTGTAGGAATATTGTCTTTTTCAGCAGAGACATGATATTGGTGTTTATCGTGTTAAAAAGATTTTATTCCTGCTTCTTCCATAACTAATAAACTCTGTTGCTTTAAATCTGGTTACTAATGATGGATGACCTGATGTGAAAAAGATAATAACAGGGCTGTGTTGAGTCAGACTACAAAGACTCTGAAGCGCAAAGGGAAAATGTTTGGTAGACACTGTGCCTTAAATTTTACTGGAAGAGTCGATAGTCACCTTGGTTTCTTGTGTTACTTTTCTGACTGGGACACTGTATTAACAATACAGTTTTAAGAGCACATTTAATTAATGTGTTTTTTTTTGTCACTATCACATCTTTAAGCTAAAACTGTAGAGCCACTAGTAATTGGTCCAATTAGTCTAATTTAATGTCACTTATCTCAGTATAAAGAAATATTGAGTAGGTGGTCTACAGTGGCTTGGGCAGCTGTGGAAAGCAGTTAGATTTAATCAAGCACTGTACTTAAGTGCAATTTTGAGGTATCTGTACTTTGAGTACTTTCATTTTCTGCTACTTCATAACTTTGATTTCACTACATTTCAGAAGCAAATTGTGTACTTTTACTGCACTGCCTGTATTTGATAACATTAGTTCCTTTTCAGAATCTGAATCAAACAAGATAACAGTATAATCAGACTTTACTGATAACTGATGGGAATTTGACAAGCTACCCAGCAGTATGTAAAGTACTTCTCATTTTAACTAAACAAGGTAGTTAACATTAGCTCCACCTTTACCAGCTGCAACATTAAAGTGAGGAACACTAATGCATTGCTAATTATAATCCAAAAATATACATTCATGTTAAATGTGCCATTCTGCATAATGAGTATTTTTGATTTTGGCATTTTGTACTTTTACTAAAGTAATATTTGGAATGCAGGACTTTTTTACTTTAACAGAATGTTTTGTGGTAGTATAAGCTATTGCTATTTTTACTAGAATCTTAGTAGCCTTTCTCCACCACTTTCTACCCTGTTTTTCTTATATTTTAGTTTATTTTATATAGTTTCATTGTCTAATAATTTCTTATTTTATCCTATGGACACCACAGTCACTGTGTCTGTAATAAAGGCTAAAGTTTGCGTGTCAAAATAAAAGTGGAGTGCCACTTTTAAAGATTGACATCGGCGACTGCCTACAGAGCTCGGAACCGGTTTCCGGACAATCCCGAACACCTACGAAGACAAACTCCCCTCTTCTTCCTTTCCTCCCTCCCTCCTCCCCTTCACGCCTAATGTTGCTGTACCTCCAACCCTCCCCCCGTATCAGAGAAGTAGAAACAACAAGCCGCCATTTTGTTTGTGCGGACAGACCGTCAGAAACAGGAGATAACCGAGAGAAGGAGCGACTCCGGTAATCGACGGCAGCCGCTCCGGGAACCCCCGGGGGACGAAAAAGTGGCGAAATCCTGCGCCGTGTTATCAAGAGAGCGAAAGCCCCACCAAAACGATAAGACGCCAGTGGAGGGGAAAGCGAGTCCGTGATATATATGTGTGCATGAGAAGGAAACACTCCGAAAAATCCAAGGAAGGGGGTGTTTTACAAAAAGGAGAGGCGGAAGAGGGCTGTAAATTATCATAACGAGGAAAAACCTGAGGAAAAGGGGGAAATCAACATGAAAAATCATTATGTGTCCGTCGAGGAGGAAGGAAAGAGTCCGCATAGACAATTATATAAATAAATTGCTGCCGGGCAGAAGGGAGAGGTGGAAAGAAAGACGGGTTTAAAGAGAAGGGGAAAATTGCCAAGATCAACACGAAGGGGGGCATTCTCCATCACAAAGAGTCAATGAGAGGATTTTGTCAGCCCAAAATATTTTAGGGGGGGTGTCAACATTATTTTGCCGAGCTGAAGCTTTGCGCTTCCGAAATAGCCATAATTTCTTAACGACCACCGTCAATTTTTATCAGGTTTTTCTGGCTGTCGCCGTAGCTGTGCTCCTGTTTTTGGTTGAAATCTTTCTTTTTCTCTTCGCTTGCATGGCCAAGACGTCCAATAAGCGGTGAATGACAGGTATATTTTTGGAAAATGTATCAGTCTTTGCATTATCTGAGATTTCAAGTGTTTAAAGCAAGTGAAAACCTACAGGAGGAACCTCTTCTAAAGATAAGTAACCCCACAGATCAGCCTCTGCAAAATAAAACTAATTGGATCGATCTGACTGTCCCCTGATTGGCAATTAGCGCCGTGATTGAAGAACAACACTGTCAAAAAAAGTCTTAAACAGGAGCAGTGATTTTTCTGACAAGGCTTTACATTTTCAACCTTTGCAAACCCTGCTGACTGCAAAAGGCATAATCGCGCAAAAGGGTTGCAACAGCCAAATGTGCAATACTGACCCAGTGCCTTGCATGGTCAAACACTACGTGCACAGTTTAGTCAGCATGCACATGCAAAAGATAATTCGTGCATGAAAATATACATCACCAGTAGATAATGTTATCTGAGTAAGTGCAAGTGTGGGATTCCAGTGTTTTCATCTTTTGCAGAACTGTTAATTTATTCAGTTACTGTTAAGCCATTGCAAGTTATTTCCCCCCCTCAGTGTTACTCTTACTCTATAACGGTATTGCACAAGTGCTGGCTGGTGGTCTCCACACGCCGGGTGGTTGCCTTTTTGAAACGTGAAAGGAATCGGTGGGATGTCTGGTCGGGAGAGAGACACTGTAAATACAGCCAAAGATCTCGTAACTGTTGCATGAGAAATCAGCCTCCAGGAGTTTACACGGCAATACCCCTGGCTTGTGTTTTTGGATCACATTTAGCCCGTCGTTTTCCTCACCGAGACTCTCCACCGGAACATTTCAGACCTGAGATACAGGATTTCTCCGCCGACTATGGCGGACAGGACTGAGTGCAGCACGGAGGACGGGTCTTGGGACAATTTTTGTGTCGCAGAAGAGGCCACATGAGGTTGTCAGAGGGCCGCACGTTTGCCTGTTCAGCGACTCCACCTTCCCACCTCCTGTTCAGATCAGCGAAGGAACAAAATCTCCAAGAGGGGAGGGGGACTGGTATCTGCAGAGAGGAATAAACCGAGAGAGAGGACCGTGAGGGAAAGTGTTCACCATTGCTGTTCTCCCCTACCGTCTCCCCGAGCGGTGGGGGACCGATCAGAAGCATTTCTTAAAGGGAAATACGTTTGGCCCTCCGTGGATCTTCAACTATTTTTTTTAATTCGTCAAAAATATGGCCGATAATGTCCTGGAGTCCGGCCCGCCTTCAGCCAAGAGGCCCAAGCTATCCTCTCCAGCTCTCTCGGTGTCTGCCAGTGATGGAAATGGTAAATATATTGCATGCATTACTTGGCTGGAGACAAACCACAAACTGCCTTTGACTGTGTATTAATTACTGGTCAGTCCTGGAAGTCCGTGCAGAGTTGCACTGCAACTTAGTTGTTCTGCCACTGAGTTGCCCCACAATTGATACATTTGAACATGAATATTTTGTTTTTAAAAACGACTAGTATGGTTTGGCAAAGAGAAACCATAACGTCGTGCTAGTGGTCGGAGTAGCTTTCCAGTAGTGATGTTTTGATGTGTTAGCCTCAAGTGGCTAACTAGCTACTAACTATAAGATCCACCTCCAAACAATGAAAGAGTCGAGTCACCCCAGTTTGCTTCAAGTTGTCTAGTTGCCTTAAAAGTTAATCAATTGGAACTATGAGAACACGCACATATTAAACAACATGCTTCATAAATACTACATAAATAAGAAGGAAAAGTACCGTCAGTAAATAGCTTTAGGAGAAAGTAACGGTAACCGAGCTAGCTAGCTAACTAGCTTGGCTGATAGAACCGGCTCAGCTGAGCTTGGCTAGCAAAGAAAATAAGTGATGATCAGCTAAACCTGACTGGTTACCAGAGTAGCTTTATTCACTGGGTACCAGCTCTCTCTGTAGTTACAGAAAAAAAAATGCGTTTGGAGTCATTAACTTCGTGCACTTAATGTGATGTTGGCTGAGAAGACACTGGTTTGGTGAACTATTGTATACCAGCTAGCTATTGTTCGACACTTCATTAAAGTTGCGCTACGCGTTTCCGTCCAGCCAAAGAAAACAACGTGTCCGTTTTAACTGTAACCACGTTTAAATGAACCCGCAAAACCATTTCTGTAATGTCTGCTTTCTTGTCTTTTGTTTAAAAGGCTTTTATTTTTTGAGTTACACTACCGACGAAGCCCATTCTTGTTCACTCTCCATTGTCTGACTGCGCGGTGTCACTGCGCTGCACTTCTTGCAGATAACTTTTCAGAAATAATGCGACACTTCTCCCAAGCAGACCACTTAAACAATAGCCTCTCAGCTCGATTGTGAATTAAAATGTTTACGCAGCTGAATTCATTTACACGTATTGAGCAAGAAGCTTTAAATTCTTGGCATCCGCTAATTGAATTCCTCTCCAAGTAGACACATAAATGATTTAGTTGATGCTGTTTTTTTTTCACTGTGAATAATACAAGTATTACTTCTAGCATATCAGTTATTTCTTACAGTGTACAATGTTTATGGAATTGTGGAATCTGTGAATCTTGTAAAGATTGGTTTCCACTCCACCAGTTCTCAGACTGTGGCAAAGTATTGTGAATTTCAAGCTTGAGGCATGTTTAAATTTCTGAATATCTGGGCTTCTAATGCAGAGAAAACAGACTGAAGAGAAATGTCATTACTAGTCCCATGCATTAACTCAAATACTGGCACAGCATGGGGCCGTCTGAAGAGAGCAACTTGTTTTGCAACTGTTAAAAGTGGAGACGTTACTGCCTTTTGTGTATGGTGTTGGATTAAAGGACAACTCAAGGAAAATGATAGTGCTTCACTATGCTCTAAAATGACCTTCCCTTTTAATTTGCCTCTTGTTGCAGTGGATATGACTTCTGCTCCTTTCCTCTGTGTCATGCTCTTGCACTGTACAGCTGATGTACACACTTGCCTAGGTGCTGTAGTGTTTACCCCTCTGTGGCTTCTCACCCTCATCCTACTGCGCTCACCTTTCATGTTTGACACCCTATCAACCCTCAGACTGATGGTTAGGAGAGAGGTCCAGGCTGTCGGAGGCAGCTACTGATGCACTGACTGTCCACATTATTTGTTGATATTCTTCAGACTAATGTTAGAGCTCTACCGTGCTTAAAAATGAAAGATATTCAATTAATATTGAAAGCTTGTGACTGTGGTGCAAATCATAAGTGTTAGTTTTTCCTGACCTGCCAGCTTTGTGAACCACATCTTCATTTTTTTGGTTGGTAAGGTTTTTCTTCCTCTCCTCCCCCGGGCCGTCACTCTGATGAACACTTGTCCCTCAACAGTATGACTGGACAATAACCCTCAGTGCAATACCTGTAACTATACGTTGTACAGATTATACAGATCCGTATAGGTCTCTATTTTTAAGTACTCTATTTTTATTCCTAATTATCTAATTTCACAATGAGCGTTCCTTTGTCTGTCTGCATTGTTTACTGCCTGTTTATACTGCTTATTTTGCATTGTTTGCACTGTTTGTTGCTTGTAAATACTGCTCATTTTGTTATATTACACAGCCTTGTGTTGGTTTAGTGTTTACTTGCCCCTTGCATGGGGACATGTACATACACATTGAGAGCTGATGTACCAGAGTCTAATTCCTTGTGTGTCTGACACACCTGGCTAATCAAGCTGATTCTGATTCTGTGTGTGTCTAGACTTTGGTTCCCTCTTTGACTTGGAACATGACCTCCCAGATGAGCTCATCAGTTCCTCGGACCTGGGACTGACCAATGGAGGGGATCCTAGCCAACTGCACACCAGTCTTGGAGCGGTTGGAGGAGGGGCTGATGTTGGAGGAGGCCAGGATGCAGCTGCAAAACACAAACAGCTGTCTGAACTCTTGCGTGCTGGAGCATCTACACAGCAGGGTGGCCCTGCATCTAACAGCACAGCACCTGGGGCTGCCATGGGGATGATGGGGGGTGTCGGTGTCTCCCCCAGTGGACCTCAAGGCCTGCCCCCCCAGGGCCAGCAGCAGCAACCTGGATTAATGCAGCAGGTTGGAATAGTTGGAGGGGTGGCCGCACTCAATCGGGCAGCTGCCATGATGGGTGCCCAGAAGGGCAACACTGGACAGCAGCAGCAAGGGCTAATGGGGGGGCAGGTGATGAATGGCTCACCAAGAATGGGTTACCCTGGCAGTGCAGGCATGGGTAACAATGGTAACCTGTTGGCGGAAACCCTACAGCAGCAAGGTCAGCAAATGGGACCTGGGGGTCCAGCAGGGATGAGGCCACAGCCGCCTGGATCACTGAACAAGGTAAGCACTCTCAAAGCAGCAGAACCAGGCGCTATGTGCATCTCACTAGCAACTATTATATAGCTAGTTATCAGTTGTTGTGAACAGCAGTTTTAAACTGAGGCTAACATATTACAGTTGACGGCCCGATGAAGGAATATTCAAATATAAAATCTTCTCAACTTTGAATACCGTTCCACAGTAACATTTCTGTGGCATTGTTAATGTTGTGAAAATGCAAGTGCAAAATTGTATTAACATTCACACACACAGTGGAATTGAAACTTTTTTGGCATTATGTTAGCTCCACCATAAGCATTTGGGAACGGTGTGGACAACTAATTATTCCTAATGATATTTGAAGATGTTCTTGGGGGTTTGCCTTTTACAGACACTGCCTCATTTATATGTAAAACACTGATGTTTGAAATTGCTTCTAAAGATCTGTATAAATGTGTCTGACTGGTCTGGATGGAATTTGTGCATTTCCTCCAACGGAAGACTGGTGTTAATTTCACTTGTAAAAGACTCTTCAGAATTTTCAGGTTCATAGCACAAAAGGCAGATGCAGCTGTTCAGAGCTGAGTGAAGCAGTAGGCTGTAGTAGTTGCTTTTGAGAGGCTGCTGAGTTCTCCAGAGCAGGTGCAGGTGTGACTGTGGTTACAGTATACGTTGGACTCAGACACATCGCTGTTTGTATTGAGGTATTGATGGTTAACCTCCTTGCGAGGTGATATTCCGCATGACTGTTGTGATTTAGTTCTGAAGGTGTTTAAAGGGGTATTGCTAACAAGTGTAGGAAATGGTTTTTAATTGAGGTGTATTTCTGCAGCTGCATGAGACGGTAGCACAACTCTCTGTGGGTATGTGCCGGCAAACCCAGGCTGTTTTGTAATGTCCTGTAATTAACATACTGTCAATTCTAAGTATTATCACTGTTTGTTTATTTTTATTCTTTTCTTTGTTTATGCTGATCATCCTCTTGCACAGAGCAAATCATGCAGTTTTACCTCCTTATTTCACTTAAAGCTCAGATGCAGGGATGAATAGTTTTCTTAAACTCACATAGCAACAGTTAACAAACCACGTCACACTGTTGCTAGTACTGGAGCATCCTTATTGGATCTTCAGCTATGGGTTGGATGTGCTGCTGCTGAAGTAAAGAATAGTTTAGGCAGATACCGAAGAAGCTAAAATGCTGTGGCCATAGTTGGTGGTGACATTTTTTTGCAAAGCCTAAATGGTGGCATCTGAATTGTCTGTTAATTAGTTGTGGAGAGCAAAGTAAGATCAGGAGGAAGTAACATCACAGTGAAAACGCATTATGAAGGAATATTTACTAGTACTGGATCGTAACTTCATGTCTTGGCACCGTGTGCTCAGTGTCAGAGCAGTCTTAATACAGTCAGACGTGGCTGGATACTGTGTAGTTTTTAAACTCCTGTTAGATGATACTGTAGAACCATGTTCTTCTTTTAATGGTTGAATATTGGTTGATTAAAACATACTTTCATAGAAAACTCATTTGATATTCTAAACATTTTTTTTTTAATTTCTTCCTCTCCTACCTTTGTCTACATACACCTTTCTTCCTCCTCTCTCTGATCTGTCTTCTGTTTTCCATCTTGTTTTCTTTTTGCCACCCCTGCTCTCCAGATGAATATGATGGCCAATGCGGGCCCCTATGGTGGTCCGTACGGCCAGTCTGCAGGCCAGGGGCTTCCTGGAGCAGGGCTGGGCCCACAGCTCCAGAATAAGCCAGGCCTCCCCAACAACATGACCCCCCAGTTCAACATGGACAAGAAGGCACCACCGAGTCAGGGCATGCCTGGGATGGTAGGGCTTGTTTTTCTCTTTGTACAAATGCATGAAATCTAAAGGCCTCTTACAGCTGTTTCACTAGGTATTCTATTTTTCCATTAATCTACACTCAGTAACCCATAATGACAAAAGTATGTTTATTTAAAAAGTAAAACTAAAATCTACCATTTATAAAATATTTAGAACATTGTAGAAACCCCCTTTTCTCCACACAGTGCTGGAGTTCAGGTTCTGTCTCCTCAGACCAGAGATTCTTTGTCCTCCTGCTCTGAGATCCTTTAAACGCTGATTGACAAACTGAAGGCAGCTTCATCAACCTTTCATTCAGTCCAGCCACTCAACCATAGAGGCCTGATTGTCATCCTTCAGGCAGGTTCTCCATCTCTGCAGAAGACCTCTGATGCTCTGTGAGAGGGCCTGTTGGGTTTCTTGGTCTCCTCCCTGACCAATGCCCTTCTTACCTGGTTACTCAGTTTGGCAGGTCCACGGTGCCTTTTGAAACTACAGGTGGTGACAGATTAAATGAAAATGCTGAATATTTATTCAAATGAGTGGTCTCTTTCAGGATGACAGTAGGACATGAGGGGTCACTGAATGGTTTGAGTATAAATAACAGTGATGTGAATTGTGCTGTGGCCTTCACAGTCACCAGATATCAACCCAGTTTGAACACCTCTGGGAACTGCGTATTAGACCGTGTCTCCACCACCGTCAATACTGAATACTTTTGGAAATGAAACATTTCAGATTTTCATTTGTAATAAATTTGCAAAAGTTTGTTAAAAACATGGTTTACTTTGTCATCATGGGTCATGTGGTGCAGGTTAATAGGTAACTGTGTCCACTGAGTTTAAATGACATCTTCCTGGTCTGAAAACCTTCTAAAACCACTAAATTGCTCTATATTCAGCTTGAATTTTAACTGAAGTCTCTTGAATGGTTCAAAGTAGAACTAAATGTATTTTAGTATCATACACGTCTCATGTTCCATCTTTTGACACATTCATTCGTTTTTACATCCAAAGGGAGAAAAGTATACTCTCAGAGACAAATCAAGGCAAGACCCGCTGGCAGACCTGGATCAGTTTCTAGCCCACAGCTTGTTATAAAATCCTGTTTTTCTGATTTGCCTTTGTCACTGAACACGGCTTACTGGTATGTCAACAAATGATTACTTCAGCGGAGGAGGCAGAGAAACCAGTTTCTCCATCAACAGAAGCCTGAAAAACGTAAACACAGAACAGGCATATTTATCAACATATTTTGCCACGACAGCAGGGTCTTTATGCCAGTCGATGTCCAGGTGAACATCCTCTGTCACACCTGACAGGTGATTGAAGACGGTATAACATTCTCTCCATGTGTCTCACATCAACTGCTACCCAAGATGATTTTTGGCATTTAACTTCATGTCATGGGGGTGTATTTAATGGAGATAACTAAATCTCAGGAATGCACATGATCTGGGGCCTATTTCAAGAAGGCGGTTTAACAAACTCAGAGTTCAAACCTGAACTCTGAGTTGACTTACTCAGAGTTGGAAAACTCGGAGTTTTCGGTTTCAGAACAGCTGAAAAGAGTTGGTTTAATCAACTCTGAGTTGTCTGACTCAGAGTTAGGCGCGTGCCACGCGACTATAAAAAGCCCTGAACAATGGAGTGAAGAAATTACGAGTCACCATGGCAACAGGACCAAGCCAAAATAGGTCTGCGTTTTTCCCCGACAGAAATGGATGTGCTACTACAAGCATATAGTGACTACGAGCCCATATTTCGTAAAAAAAAAACAACAACACGGCTGCAGCGGCGAAAGAGAAAGAGTTAGCTTGGGGGAAAATAGCTGCCCGAGTCAATGCGTACGTTTACATTTTAATCATACAGTATTCGGTGTAAGTAATTACTAAATAATGTTAGTAATGTGATTATTTGTCACTTGTAAAGTAAGGAATGGTTCTTAATTCGTCAATAATTTAATGAGTAACATCAGTAATTGCATAAAATGCCGATTGTTGTACGAATTAAAAGTGCAGTTTTATGTCTACCCTTTCTTAAAATTCCTATTGTGGTTGATATGGGATTTGTAAAGTAATGATTAATAAATAATCCAATACGTTTTATGGAGAGTAATTATTACATTAATCAAAATACTTTTTTAAAAATTGACCCAACACTGATGTAATAATATAAGAATTGAATTTTAATTTTCATGTAGGTGCAATCCTGCAGGCATAAAAAGAACGTGGCAGCAGCTAAAAATGAAATATAAAAACATAATTCAAACAGGTAAGGCTTGATCATATCATGGGTGTAGACTACCTGACTCTACAAACATTTGACATATTAAATAACTAAATAGCCTGCAGAGTATAGCAGTGCAGCAGCATTTTCAACATGGGTGTAATGTTGTTTTCATACAATTAAATCATTTGACAACTACTCAGCCAACAGAAAGAAGGCAGAGGCCAGAAAAACTGGTGGAGGACCTGCACCACCACCACTGACACATGCAGAGGAGATGGCCCTCAGCCTAAACACTGGAAAGCCAGTGGCTGAGGGAATTCCTGGAGGGAGTTCATCAGAACCAGTCACTCCCCAGGATGCAAGTGCATTCATTACATGTAAGAGGCCTACCTATATATTCTATTTTTTACATAGGCTACTTTTGATATATCCATTTATTACACTCTGGGTTGGG